AAAGTTCTGGGCTGATGTCAGAATGGGGTTGCGGGAATGGAATCTTACAGTAAGTAGGGGGATGGATGACCTGTATTTTGAAAGTGGTTTGGGTTAGGACAGACCCTGGAAGCCCCTTATTAACATAACTAGGAACAGCTTTTTCCAAATGGGACCACTCCCTCAGGTGTAGGGGTGAGAATCCCAACACATATTTTTGGGATGGTTCTGATTAGATCACAAGAGGAAACCTTGGACAGAGAGGGAGGGGAAAATGTAGGACAGAATTCAAAATCATTAAAACAAAAGACCAGGCAAACTGGTCTGATAGAGACTGGTGGAACCCCCAAGGCTGTGACTCTCAGACACTCTGCAGACCTGGAACTGAATCCACACCCCAGCATCCTCTTTCAGCCAACCAACAGGCAGCCTATACAGCAAACAGGATATTCAGTTGTGCAAGGTCAAAAGGGCAGCATTTGTCCAAAAAAGGAAGGAGCAGGGATGAAGGACGAATGGAAACTGGGAATACAGGGAGAAAGTGGGAAGAGTGGAGTTAATGTGACAAAAAAAAACCGTGTATAAAATGTTCAATGGGAAACAAATGAGCTCTGTAAACTTTCACCCAAATCACAATTTTTTTAAAAAAAGGTCATACAGAGGAGAAACTGTGTCTGTGGTCTGAGGCTGTGGTCTGCATGGGAAGTATACCCTACAGGGTTGGAGTCTCGGGGTGCGTCCTGCGTAAAGTGACTGGGCACCAGGCCTCAGTCAAGTGGCCAAGATGACCTCTCAGATACCCTAGAGAAAGTTGCAGGGAATGTCCACTAGGTTCTTAGAGTAGGGGCAGCTCAGTGTTCCTTTTTGGGGAGTGGGTCACCCACCTGTGATGAGGCCATTTTTCTCCAGGGGTTCCTGCCAGCTGACCTTCAAGGATGTGTCCAGGATCTCAGTGAAGCTCAGGTGGCCCACAGCACCAGGTCCTGGTAATTCAAAACACAGCAACTGTTAGCTCCACAGTCTGGAGCATATGGTCACGTGTGTATCTGTGTGTCCGTCTGTGTGTGCCTGTCTATATGTCCATGTGTATCTGTGCCCATATCTCTGGGTGTGTATGTGTGTGTCTGTTTGTCTTTATCTGTATCCATGTGTGTGTGTGTGTGTTTCTGTATATGTCTACCTGTATGTTCGTGTGTGTCTGTCTGTGTTCATAGCTCTGTTTGTCTATATGTGTGTCTGTGTGTCCATATCTCTGTGTGTATCCATATCTCTCTGTGTGTCTATCTGTCTGTATGTGTGTGGCCCTGTGGAAGTTTCTAGCTGTGGAACTTGCAGGACCCCTGTGGAGGTGTGGGAGGAATCCCACTATCAGCACACACACAACGTTCCATGGTGCTCAGTCCAATCATGAGGAGGGAAGAGACAACACTTGTTCGCCACACTCCCCTTGACCTCTCCTGTGACAACAACCCGGCTGTCTGGGCCCTGGGAGCCTTAGGACCCTGGATGCCCACCCGCAGGCACATGGACCAGAGGCCTGGAGAGCTGAGTGTCACCTGGTCCTGTGGAAGGGCCCTTCAGCTGCTGCCTATTGGTGGACCTGAATTCCACCCTCCCTTCATTCACATCCTGGTGGGGCAGGGCCCTAGTTGGAGAAAGTCCCCAGAAAGATGTGTCTCTATATGTGAGCTCCCGTGTGGACCCAGTGGTAGAGGAGAATCCAAGGACACCTGCTCCCCAAGCCTTCTTGTCCATCTGTAAAATGGGCACACTTTGCAAGGGAGAACAAAATTCAGTGAAATACCAAGGCAGATTGGCAATCCCTGGTGCCATGACAATGCTCAATGGGCATGGATTCCGACTCATGACAACCCTGTGCACAACACAACACAATGCTGTCTAGTCCCGTTTGTGTCTGTGGCCGTGGCAGCTGTACCTTGAGTCTCTGCCAACCCCGGACTTGTCTTTTACCACTCGATCAGACAATTTCTCAACTGACATGAAACCCATCACTGCCATCCATGTCCATCTGAGTCCTTCCTTTAAATCTATGCTGTTGGTTGTTGTTGTTAGGTGCCACTGAGTCAGCACTGACTCACAGTAACCCTATGCATAACAGAACGAAACACTGCCCAGCCCTGTGCCAATCTCAAAATCACTGCTACGCTTGAGCTCACTGTACAGGGGTATCTTCCTCTTTTTCACTGACCCTCTACTTTATCAAGCATGATGTCCTCCTCCAGGGAATGGTCCCTCCTGATAACATGTCTGAAGTATGAAAGATGAAGTCTGGCCATCCTGGCTTCTAAGGAGCATCCTGGCTGCATTTCTTCCAAAAGGTATTTGTTTTTCTGGCAGTCCATGGTACTTTTAATAGTGTTTTCCAACACTCTCACTCAAGTGCATACAATTGGTATATATATGCAAAAGGGTCTGTGGTGGTCAGTAGTTCAAACCTACCCGTTGCTCCTAAGGAAAATATAGTCTGTTCCCATAAAGATTCAAAGTCTCAGAAGCTCTGTGTAGGGTCATTGTGAGTAGGAACCAACTTGATGGCAGTGGGATATATACATACACACACACATATGTACATACACATGAGCACAGACACAAACACAAGGGGGCTACAAAATGCTCATGAAAAATGAAATGAAAAGAGAATGGAATTTTCCCTCAAACTTCTTGAAATGTCTTCATGTATGTATGTGTCTGCTGCTGCTGTTGTTAGGCGCTGTTGTGTTGATTCCAACTCATAGTGATCCTATGTTAGGTTTCTGATGAGTGGCTCACTGGTGAGTTTGACCTAGTGACCCTACCGTTAGCAGTCCAGGGCTTATCCTACAGCGCCGGAAAAGATACTTTACATGAAATTTAGGTCACATGAATAAGCTCTAAACCCACCACTGTAGTTGAGTCAATTTTGACTCATAGCAACCGTGTAGACAGGGCAGAACTGCCTAGGAGTTTTTCAAGGCTGCTCAGGCTTTTCGGAAGCAGATTACCTTATTGTTCTCCCAGGAAGACAGCCTGGTGAGCTTGAACCACTGACCTTTAGGCTAGCATCCCAATGTTTAACCACTACTCCACTGTTGCAGACCGTGAAGGCCTAGTCAGAGGTTCGAGGGTCTATAGGCCCGAGTGTAACAGATCTAGCCACCTGGCAGTTAATAACAAATTATTTTTCATCTTAGTGTTCAGTTATGTTTTATTAATTGCAGACATGAAGTCCTTGATATACACAGATAAATGTAATATTTTCCTAAAAGTCAAGACTGTAAAATTCTAAACAGGCAAAGTTTTCCCCTCAGAGAATTCATTCAAAGTAAATTGGGTGGCTTCCTGGTCTGTTCCAAGGACAATAGGAATGCCCTCCCTAAAGTGTTTCCAGGTGATGCCTATTCACCCAGGCAGCTCTTTTCCTGAAGAACCTGGGCTGGGCAGCTGACACAATGGGAATCCTTCCAATCCTCCCTTTCCTCCCCCCATTTGAGGCTAGGTGCTAAAAGGTATGTTAATTAAGCTTGAGAAACCAAGTTGCGGTGGTGAGATTCGAACCTGCAGAGTATGATGTAAAGTTGCCTGAATGTCTGGAAAAGTAAGATTGACAGCTGTACCTTGTCTTAGTCCCTCCTAACTTTGTGTATGGTTCCTCCCCTAAATAAAAGGAGGCACAGAACGAATCCAGGTGCTTTTTGCTGGCATTGGAGGCAGTGCGGGCACTGCGTGCATTAAGACAGGCAAGGCGTGCGTCACAGCATGCAGGGGGCTCAGTCCAGCCTTGCAACCACACTGCCTGTTTAGCTAAGATGTTTACTATGCAGGATATTACGGACTTCATGGCTGAGATGTTTGCAACGCAGGATCTGCCTGATGCCAGTCCAGCATTCACTCTGGTTTCAGAGTGTCTCTTTGTCTCTCTCTTTGCATCTCTATGTCTCTTTTGCTATCTCTATCGCCGCCAGGTATCTCCTCCTCGTGAACCGAACCCCTATGTCGAGGCCAGTCCCCGGCACTCCACCAGGGCTCCTTTGATGAGCTTGAGCTACAGTGATGGTTATTAGTCATTGGAGCAGTTATCATTTCATCAGAACATACGATGAGCTGGTGCCATTTAGAAAGTCAGCAAGGGTCTGAGAGGCAGGGGCAGGTGTGAACATGGCAGCCCTTCACACCTCAGAGTTGTGGACTCCAGGCTCTGGTCCAGGGAAAAGCCATGGGGTGGGCCATGCTCAGTCCAGCCCTGTGGTCTACTGGCCACTGCAGAGGGATAGCAGGGCAGAGACTGGGTTACTGGGTAGGTGTAGGACCCTAGGCAGCTCTGCCTTCTCTCCTTCCACACCTGTCTCAGGTATGGAGTCCTTGATGGCCAGACCATAGGGCCCGTCTGGGGTAGAATGCTCTGTGGGAGGTTGGGCTCTTAGGACTCAGTGGTGGGGGAGGGAGGGGTAAGTTAGCAGAGGCAGGATGAGAGGGGGCTCCTGGCACACAGCACAGCTCCATTCTTTCCGACTCCAAATGCAGCCGCTCATTCTCTCAGATTGTCTCAGTGTCGCCTTGCTGACACGATTCCCATGCATACCCCTTCTCAATAAGGAACCCTGGTGAGTTATCGGTTAAATGCTTGATTACTAAACAAAAGGTGGCGGTTTGAACCCACCCACCTGGTGATCTGTTCCCCTAAAGATACACCCTAGAAAAAACTATGGGGCCACTCAACTCTGTCATATGGAGTCACTGGGAGTCAAAATCGACTCATAAAAGCAGCTGGGGAATCCCTGGGTGGTGTGAATGGTGAGAACTTGCTGAACTGCTAACTCAAAGGTTAGAGATTTGAGTCCATTCAAAGGTACCTCAGAAGAAATACCTGGTGATTAACTTTTAAAAACTCAGCCACTGAAAACCCCTCAGAGCCCATTGTACGCTAATACACACGTGGGGCAGCTGTGAGTCAGAATCAACTCAATAGTACCTACAACATCATCCTCACCCCCACCTCTTTGATACCCATTCCAGGTTCCAGGAAAAATATAAGGGGCAAAGTCCAGGAGGAATGAATGGCAGGGCGCTGGGGAGACCTGAAGAAGGGAGATGGAGGAGGGAGAAGAAGCGAGCATTTGATTCATTCCACACACATGTTCATAGCATGTCCCCTGCATCAGATCAGAGGACACTGCAACTTAATGAATGTCCAAGTCCCAGGAAGCCCCAGGGACACGCTGAGTAACACCACACTGAAGCCCCCTGAAGAATAAACAGTGCAGAGTCTCCGTTGAGCAAGGTGCCAGGCTCAAGGCCCTTGCAAGGATCTTTGGGGGGCCCCACCCCCAGGAGAACATCCTCACCTCCTCGAGTCCCACTGACCAGCTGGCATGGACAGCAGGTGGCCACAGTGGACTAAATGCCTCGTTCCTTCAATTGATACTTGGTTTCCCAGCACAGCTTGTAATTTAGAGAGAATGGCAAGAGCCTGAGAAACTACACTCATCTCGCCTAAACTTTCAAAAGACTTTTAAGGATGAGTTCAAGTATGCTGACTGCATTCCACTTTAGTGAGGTGCGCGACGGGAAAATAGAGCGGCTGTCAAGACCGGCTCATCCTCCCCCAGTTCTGAGCTTCCAGAAAGACATTCTGACGGGTTTCTGAGCTGCCACGTTCTCTTCCCGATCGATGAAGTTGCAGAGAAAGCTTCTGGGCCCCTTTTATGTTCTTGTTGTGTCGGCTTCCTGGATCCCTGCCCAAACAGGCTGTCTGCTAACACAGTGCAGGAGGCAGCCGGCAATGCCTAGGATTACAATTGATATTCTGTTTCCACCTTGCTTTCCCTTGTGCAAAACCCTCACCGAAGCCTTTCTTGTTTCATCGGAACTCTGGAAGAGCAGGCCGCCGGATACAGCATCAGCATCTCAAAACAATGGAAGTGATTTCTAGGGTGTGGGTTTTCTAGAGAACCCAGCTAAGACACTGGCATTCCTTACACCATGC